AGAAGGCTGAGGCAGGAGGATAGCAAATTCAAGGCCAGCCTCCACAACTTGGCAACACCCTTTCTTAAAATAAAAAGGGCTGGGGATGTGGCTCAGTAGTAAAGTGCCCCTGGATTTAACCTTCAGTAACAACAACAACAATTAAAAAAAGATCAAGGTTCTGTAAGAAAATAAAAACTGAGAGCAGTGGATAAGGAAGGAGTTCACAGTAGAGGTATTTCCAGACAGAGGAAAGCAGCTTGTACAAAAACGCTGTAGCGACACTTCTCAGAGGAGGATATACAATCAATCAACAAGTACCTGAAAAAATGCTCACCATCTCTAGCAGTCAGAGAAATACAAATCAAAACCACCCTAAGATACCATCTCACTCCAGTAAGATTGGCAACCATTATGAAGTCAAACAACAACAAGTGCTGGCGAGGATGTGGGGAAAAGTGTACACTTGTACATTGCTGGTGGGACTGCAAATTGGTGCGGCCAATTTGGAAAGCAGTATGGAGATTCCTGGGAAAGCTGGGAATGGAACCACCATTTGACCCAGCTATTGCCCTTCTCGGACTATTCCCTGAAGACCTTAAAAGAGCGTACTATAGGGATACTGCTACATCGATGTTCATAGCAGCACAATTCACAATAGCTAGACTGTGGAACCAACTTAGATGCCCTTCAATAGATGAATGGATTAAAAAAATGTGGCATTTATACACAAGAGTATTACTCAGCACTAAAAAACGACAAATCATGGAATTTGCAGGGAAATGGATGGCATTAGAGCAGATTATGCTAAGTGAAGCTAGCCAATCCCTAAAAAACAAATGCCAAATGTCTTCTTTGATATAAGGAGAGCAACTAAAAACAGAGCAGGGAGGAAGAGCATGAGAAAAAGATTAACATTAAACAGGGATGAGAGGTGGGAGGGAAAAGGGAGAGAGAAGGGAAATTGCATGGAAATGGAAGGAGACCCTCATTGTTATACAAAATTACATATAAGAGGATGTGAGGGGAAAGGGGAAAAAAAATCAAGGGAGAGAAATGAATTACAGTAGATGGGGTAGAGAGAGAAGATGGGAGGGGAGGGGAGGGGGGATAGTAGAGGATAGGAAAGGCAGCAGAATACAACAGTCACTAGTATGGCAATATGTAAAAACGTGGATGTGTAACCGATGTGATTCTGCAATCTGTATAAGGGGTAAAAATGGGAGTTCATAACCCACTTGAATCAAATGTATAAAATATGATATGTCAAGAGCTTTGTAATGTTTTGAACAACCAATAAAAAAAAAAGAAAAAGAAAAAGAAAAAAAACCCCTGTAGCATCAGACACGGTGGCACAGGCCTATAATCCCAGCTGAGTCAGGGAAGCTGAAGCAGGGAGGCTGGAGCAGAGGATCCAAAGTTCAAAGTCAACCTCAGCAACTTAGTAAGACCTTGTCTCAAAATAAAAAGTAAAAAAGGGCTGGGGATATGTCTCAGTGTAAGCACCCATGGGTTCAATCCCTGATATAGAAAAAAAAAAAAAAAAGGAAGATCCCATAGTAAGAGGAAACATGTCAAGAATGCAGAACCATAAACCAGAGTGCCTGGAGTAGAGATGAAGTATGAGAATTAGCAAGGTTGCAGGCTGCACAGGATCCCAAGAGCAATGAAAAACCATAAAGGAGGGCTCCCGGTGTTTCAGTGGTAGAATGTATGCCTAGCATGCATGAGGCTCTGGTTTGATCCCCAGCACCACCAAAAACAAAAACATCAAAACATGACTAGGGGCTGGGGTTCTGGCTCAGCGGTAGAGCGCTCACCCAGCACGTGTGAGACCCTGGGTTCGATCCTCAGCACCACATAAAAATAAGTAAAATAAAGGCATTGTATCCAACTACACCTAAGAAACAAATATTAAAAAAAAAAAAATGACGAACAGATTTTGTAAATGCTTATTTTATGGACAGGCAGGCTGAAGGGGATGGAATCAGATTTGCAATATGACTTTGGCTCCTGAAATACAAATGGATCATGTAAGAAACAAAATTCCTGTCAGGATAGAAACAGAAATTTGAACTAGGTGGGTGGTGGCAGTGGTGGCAGAAGTTGATAAATTCAAGAAACAGAGAAATGAGGAATACTATGTAGAAAGACTGAGGCATAATAGTGTCCAAGAAGATGTCTGGGCTTTTGATTGGCACAACTATATAAAGAGAGACAACATTCAGGAGGGAACTGTTCCAGAAACAACCGTAGGCAGTTCACACACCCTAAAAGGGGCACTTTTCCTTTTGCCTGAAAATGTGTTAATCCAGTGCAATTCCCTATTTGCTTATGAAATAGGGTTCCAAAAGATCTTTTACAGCCCTCACACATGCCTATAATCTCAGCATCTTGGGAGGCTGAGACAGGAGGATCCAAGTTCGAAGCCAGCCTCAGCAACAGTGAGGTGCTAAGCAATTCAGTGTGACCCTGTCTCTAAATAAAATACAAAATAGGGTTGGGGATGTAGTTCAGTGGCCAACTAACCCCCACTCCCCAAAAAAAGAATTTTTTACTATTTTAAAATGGACTCTCAAAAGTACAAAACTTTTCCAACACCAAAATATTGCAGAGATTCTGCCACAAGCTTTGAAATCAACCCCAAATGAGTTCTACAACTGGTTTAAGCAATAGGGCAGCATTATGGAATGTGTGATTTCTGATGACAATCCTTTTGATAAGGCTGACATGCACTTACTACTGTTTAAATATTTTTTTAATAAAACTTTAATACTGAAGAGTATTCTTCCCAGGCACAGTGGCACACGCCTGTAATCTAGTGACTTGGAGGCTGAGGCAGGAAGAACAGAAGTTCTCAGCAACTTAGCAAGGCCCTGAACAATTTAGTCAGGCCCTGCCTCAAAGGGAAAAATTAAAGAGGGTTGGGGATATGGCTCGGTGGTGAAGCATCCATGGGTTCAATTCACAGTACGAAATTTTAAAAAAGAGTACTCTTATGCAATATTAAACTAAAATATGTGAATTTCAGGTATTATCATAATTAGAAAATGCCTTTATGTCTGTTTCAATAATTTGAAATACCTGTAGAAAATGTGGCATTTTGAAGAAAAAAGAAAAATCGGTGTAAATAATAAAAAGCAATAATTTAATATTTATTTATATTTGATAATTTAATATTTATTTTCTTCAGATTTAATTTTTTAATTTGCCATCTAATACCACTTTCATAAAATACTGACATCGTTCCTTTCTTTCTTTTTTTTCTTTTTTTTATGGTGCTGGGGATCTCAAACCCAGGGCATTGTGCATGGGAGGCAAGCACTCTACTAATCAAGCTATATCCCCAGCCTTTCTTTTTTTAACAGTACTGGGGATTGAACCTTGGGCTGCTCTCCCACTGAGCTACATCTCTGTTTCTTTTTATTTTGAGACAGTCTCCTAAATTGCCCAGGCTGGCCTAGAACTTGTGATCTTCCTGCCTCAGCCTCCCCAAGTAGCTTCGATTATAGGTGTGGGCCACCATACTAGGCCTGATATCTTTAGTCTCTGGAAATTTCAAATCTGACTGAAAATAGAGATGAAAAGAGATTTGCCCATTTAAAATCAACCTAACATATCTTAGTACTTCCCCAGTTCTTAATATTTCCCCAATTCTCGCAGGATAGGCTACTTGGTCTCCTGCTTGCACTAGGGTCATACTAGCATTTTAGTAACACCCAATTGCAGTTACCAGAAGGTTACCACTGCTTGTAGAAAACAAAATTTATTTTCTTCCAATACTTATATTATCTTAAGACATCAAAAGGCAAAACCTTAGTCTGAGGCCAAATATGAAAAACGTCATCTCCATGAAGGAGGAGAAACATCAAGGACTTTTTTTTTTTTTTTAAATCAGGTGTTGAATAAGCCCACTAACCAATATTAGTTTGTAAAACCAAATTGTCTTCACACTATAGACTGTGCTAGCAAATGTGATCCTTGGGAACAAAGGCTGGAGAGCTTGAAATGGGTTACCAGCAAGGCTCACCTTTTTCTTTTTTCACTTTTTTTTTTTTTTAAATACAGAACCAGACTATGGTTATGTATGAGCACAGCTAAGACTGGGCATGGGCAACGCCAAGAGATGGTGAAACCTTTTGGGGTTCCCCCAATCTCAGCTAGCTGATTTTCCATTTTCCTCAGGAGTGGTCCAAGTCTCCAAAGATGGAAGGGCGGGGGAGGGGGGGATGGCCCAATGGGCTCTTCCCATACCCAAGCCCCCCAAATGACACCGAAAACCACTTCCTTCTGGGAAGTGAAGGTCATAAGGTTTAAGGGACAATGGAGCTCAATGTAAGCTTTGAAAAGATGGAGATAATCAGCTGAGTTGGGGGTAGGGAAGAGAGGGTGAGAGGATGCGCCCAGGCTGGGAGAGCAGAATAGGGAGGTCAAGTCCAGGGACTGTAGGAGCGAAGAGGGCTGGGTCTTTCAGAATCTGTCCAAATAGGCCTACCAAGGCCGTCGGAGTCTCCTGAGGGGCTCACCTGAAAATCTGGGGCATCTGTGTACCCAGTGTGAACACCCCTCTTGTGGGGAAGGGAGTCAAGCCCGTAGAAACCCTACCCCGCAAAATGGACTTTTCCTGCCCTTGAAAAACCAAACCCTCACGGAAAAGAAGCAAAACATTTAAAGAGGGTAGAAGGACGGGGGCAGATAGGTGTTCTGCAAACACAGGGGTGGAGGGGCCTCCCAGTTTGGGGAACTTCAATTACCATCGGAATGGGGTGGGGGCTATATGAGGCCAAGAAACCTCAAAGACATAAGAGGCCAGGAGCAGGCGCAGGGAGTCCAATGCGCCCTGGGTTTGGGAATGATCGCCCCGGGCGCGGTCATCTGTAGGGGAGGCAGCTCGCAGGCCCCGCGCGGGAGCATGGCGCAGCGGGCCCTGGGAGGCGGAGAGCCCGGCCACGGAAAGCCACCGCCGGACTAGGCCTAGGGGGCTCGGACACACCCACCGCCGCAGCCGCGGACCGGCTTACCTGCTCCTCCTCCGGGGTCAGCTCCGGCGCCATGTCGGGCCGGGGCGCGGTCGCGGGCTCCATTCCGCCGCAGCCGCCGCCGCCGCCCCGCGGACAGGAGCCGTCCGGGAGCAGGAGAGCCCCGCACGCTCGACCTCCGCTTCCGTGTCCCGGAGACTCAGCAGCTCGAAGCCGGCTCACGCATGGTGGGGCCGGCGGGGCCCGGCGCCCGCGGCGGCTGCAAGCGCCGCCTCTGCTCCCTTCAGAAAAATCTCTCCGACTGTCGCTCTCTTCTGGGAGGAAATCCTCTTTTATTTTCCTCGCTCTTTCCTCACCCTACCCCTCCTCTCTGGGCGGGGGGAAGGGGAGTGCAGGCGAGGAGCTAACAGCCGCTCGGGATTAAAAAATGAAATATGCAATCGACAACTTTCAAAGCTGAGCGCGAAGGGTCTCGGCGGAAATTTCCCGAAGGCCGCCGGCCTGCTCGGCGTTCCGCTTCTCCGCGACGCTTCAGCTCCTCCAGAACGTGCCGGCGCCTCGAGGCCGCCCAGTCGGGGCGTCCTCCGGGATGCGGGCCCCGCGACCTGCGCAGCGGCCTCTCAGCCCGGTTCCTCAAAAGCCGCGGCTGCGAGAGGGAGGGGAAGAAGGAGGGAGCGAGGGAAACGCGCCCCCCTCGCGGCTCACGGCCAGCGCTGCGGCCGCGCCGCGTCCGCCCGAGCCCCCCGCGGCTCCATTGAGAAACTGAGCGTCTCATTCACAAACAAGCGGCGAGGAGGGCCCGGCCGAGCCAGGAAGCCGTCCGGGAGGGGGAGACAGAGAGGAGCCCGGGGGAGGAGGGGAGGCCGCGGGGAGGGGCTGCGGGGGGCGGAAGGCGACTCCACCGCGGGAGGAGAGGGAAGAAAGGGTGAGTTTACGAGGCTAAACTCTGTGGAAAAGGAAGAGAATACGTTCGTTGGAAAATTATCTGCTGGCGGGCATCTCCCCTGGGGCTGACTTGCCACTGCCACCTCATTTCTTTCCTTGTCATTTGGAGACGGAAAGGCCCGGGGAAAGATGCTGCGAGGTCCAGGATGCCCAGGTGCGCGGGACAGACGCAGTTCATTGCGGCCCCATCTAGCACGTACGCACTTTCCTTGTTGCCTGTATCCTGTAAATCGTCATCAGTGTAGCTAATTTTAATCCTTCACCAAAAAAGAAAGAAAGAAAAAAAACGACATCCGGTTTCGAACCTCATTCAGGAATCACTCAGTCTTTGCAAACCTTTGATTTTTCACTCAGGCAAGTGCAGCAAAGAGCTTAGGGGTTTCACAGGATTCGGATTACAGGGTACAGTGTTAATTTGGTGGAGTAGGGGACACAGGAAGGCAAGGCTGGGTCTGTTGTTTTTGTATCATTCCAAACCAAAGGGACCCAATGAACCAGAGTGCCACAGCTAGTCCCAAAGAACTAGTCTCTGGGGCCCTCCCAGAGAGACCCAAAGGAGGGGGTCTTCAGACAACTGAAGAAGGTGCTAAGTTCTAATGCTCTCCTAATACTTTGTCCAGACAGGGACTTGGCTCAGTTGACTAGGCTGGGCTGCTAGACTCACGTGACCCTCATAAGCAGCTGGGACTGCAGCACCACTACCCCTAGCCTCACCTTATTTCTGCCACAGTGTAGTAGCAATTTCTGCTGCTCTTAGTGAACATCAGAAAGAAAAAAAAAAAAAAACACCCTGGTGTTTGAATCTCTTTCTACCCCAGCTAAATTTTCTTCTTTGCCCCAATAAGGCTGACTAGGTTGAGCTCATCAACACATATAGAAACTAATTTGGGTATTGAAACCAAACCCTCCTCCAAAAACAGTCTATTAACAGATATATTTATATGCCAGGTACTGGGCTATGCACTGCAGTGGTCTATTCCATGTTGAAGGACATGGGAAAAATGAATCATGACATAAAAAGGCAAACTCAAAAAATGTGCATAATACGCTGTCACTTGTAGGGCTGGGGTTGTGGCTCAGTGGTAGAGTGCTTGCCTAGCATGTGTGAGGCTCTGGGTTCGATTCTCAGCAATAAGTAAATAAATAAAGGTCGATCGACAACTAAAAGAAAATTTAAATATGCTGTCACTTGTAAAAAGAACAGCATATTCATTTGTAAATTCATTTATACATAGAAAAACTTTGGAAGAATACATAAGAAAGGTAATAGAGGTTTTCTCTTAAGAGGGACCTGGGAGATGGAAACAAATGAAAGGGAGATTTTTTTTTCCCTATATGGTCTTTTGTACATTTTGTTTGATTTACTTTTTATTAAAATATACATTCAGGAAAAGTGCAAATGTAAGTGTAAAGCTTGATGAATTTTCATAACTGAACACACTCATGTAACCAACACACACATCAAGAAATAGTACATTTGGGGCTGGGGATGTGGCTCAAGCGGTAGCGCGCTTCCCTGGTATGCGTGCGGCCCGGGTTTGATCCTCAGCACCACATACAAAACAAAGATGTTGTGTCTGCCGATAACTAAAAAATAAATATTAAAATTCTCTCTCTATTAAAAAAAAAAAGAAATAGTACATTCATTGTCAAGCATGGTGGCACACACCTATAATCCCAGTGACTAGGGACGCTGAGGCTGGAAGATCTAAAGTTCAAGGCCAACTTCAGCAACTTAGTGAGGCCATAAGCAATATAATGAGACCCTGTCTTTTAAAATCTTGGAGACTAGAAATGAAACTCAGGAAAAATGATAGCATACACATACGCTAGAATAAATTGACATTTATTGTGTCCCTACTACACTTCCCCCAGATAGTGTTCTAAATGACATTCGTTATATATAATCTTACCATAGAAGTATAAGATAAGTGAAACTCTGATCTTTATTTTACAAGAAATATAGAAAGTAGATCCATATGTTCTGATATAGCCTCCTTGTGATTTTGGGTGTTTGGCTGTATAGCCTGGAAGGGAAGACTGTGGTAAGGTTGAGGGACTGTATGTGACAGACAAAATCACATTTATATTAAATTAACATAAATCAGGTATGGAGGAGCTTACCTGTAATCTCAGCAATTAGGGTAGCTGAGGCAGGAAGATCCAAATTCAAGGCCAGCATGGGCAACTTAGTAAGACCCTGCCTCAAAAAGAAGGGCTGGGGATGAAGCTCAGTGGGATCCTTGGGGTCCAATCCCCAGTTTAAAAAAAAATTAACATGAACTGAAATACGACAATAGAAAATAAAAGAGGGAAACCTGGGGTGGAGTGTGAAGGTTTATACTTTTGTGGGGTTTGCTTTTTTTTTTTTAAGAAACATTTTTAAAATATCTTTTTAGTTGTAGATGGACATAATACCTTTATTTTATTTGTTTTCATTTTTATGTGTGCCGGGGATCAAACCCAGTGCCTCATGCATGCTAGGCAAGTGCTCTACCACTGAGCCACAACCCTGACCCCTAGTTTTTGCTTTTAAAACATAAATTTCGGGTCTGGGATTGTGAGGCACTGGGTTTAATTCTTAGCATCACATAAAAATAAAGCTATGGGGGGGGGGTGCTGGGGGTGTGGCTCAAGCAGTAGCGCGCTTGCCTGGCATGCGTGCGGCCTGGGTTCGATCCTTGCACCACATACAAACAAAGATGTTGTGTCCCCCGAAAATTAAAAAATAAATATTAAAATTCTCTCTCTTTCTCTCTCTCAAAAAATAAGTAAAAAATAAAGCTATGGTGTCCATCTACAACTAAAAATACTTGAAAAAAATTTTTCAGATCTCTATCTAGAAATCTTTTTGTGTGTGTGTGCGTGTGCAGGTGGTGCTGGTGTCATATGGTGCTGAGATTAAACCCATGGCCTTGTGCATACAAGGCAAGCGCTCTACCAACTGAGCTTATATCCCCAGCCCTCTATCTAGAAACCTTCTTCTCTCCACTCCCACTTTCACCAAATTTAACTCATTCTTAAGACCTCAACTCCAGACCCAGCGTGGTGGCGCACACCTGTAATCCTAGCAGCTCAGGAGGCAGAGGCAGGAGGATTACCAGTTCAATACAAAATAGGGCTGGAGTTACCCCCGCAAGAAAAAAAAACATCTCAACTCCAAATTCACTTCCCCAGCAAGATGTTCCTTGATTACTCCCTAAACTGAATTACTCTCATTTCACCCTCTCATTTATCATTGAGTTGTTTACAATTTGTAATTATGAACTTGTTTCCATGTTTATTGGCCTAATGTCCCCGTAGCCCCCTGCGGTACTGGGGATTGAACCCAAGGGTGCTACACCACTGAGCACCCAAGCTGTTTTTTGTTTGTTTGTTATGTGGTGCTGAGGATAGAACCCAATGCCTCACATGTGCTAGGCAAGAACTCTACCACTGAAACAGAACCCCAGCCCCCTTTTTTTTTATTCTGAGATAGGTTCTCACTAAATTGCTGAGGCTGGCCTCTAACTTTCAATCCTCCTGTCTCAGCCTCCCAAATCACTGGGATTATAGGCATGTGGCACTGTATTAGGCTCACTGGCCTGGTGCTTGCCTGCTGTATGCTCTACTAACCTTAAGCTTAATAGAGGCACTAAACTCCCAATGCCTAGAGCCTAGTATAGAGTACACACGCTCTTCATAACTGTGTGTTAATGACTAAGTCAAGGAAGAGAATCACCTCAACTGAGACCTCTATTATATTTGTTCAGATCTAAAAATAGACGTATCTAAAGTTGTGATTAAAATTTTATAATCTTTTCTCAAAAACACTTATAAAATCCAAAGTTCCTCTCCAGCATTGCTCTAAAATATCTACTGACTATGAAAAAGATATGTATTTGTATCACAAAGATGCTTTGGCTATGCTGGGGATTGAACTGAGTCCTCATGCCTGCTAGGCAACTGCTCTATTGTTGAGTTCTACTCAAAGTCCACCAAAAAATTCTTATTGCCATTTTTCTAAAACACAAAAAGATATAAATAAATAAGACCATAATGCTAATAACTATCTAAGGTGAAACATGTTTTCTTTTTTTCCCTTGATTACAAGCCAAATCTATAATCACTAAGATGACTATAAGGAAGATAAAAAATTTTATCCCAAGTAGATTACATTTCCTCCATTACCCAACACTCTTAAGGGACTATTCGTCATATATTTTTTTTAAGTAAAATATGAGCTAGCTCTTTCTTAGACCATAGGAAAACTATTTTCTCATCTGACACTTCTACCTACTA